GAAGAGTGATAGAAGAGCAAAAGAAAAGTGATAAAAAAGTGATAGACGAATAATAGAAAAGTGATAGAAGAGGGATAGAAGGGTAATGGAAGAGTGATAGAAGAGCAAAAGAAAAGTGATAAAAAAGTGTTAGACGAGTAATAGAAAAGTGATAGAAGAGGGATAGAAGTGCATACACGTGATATAAGAGTGATTGAAGAGCAAAAGAAAAGTGACAGAAGAGTGATAGAAAGGTAATGGGAGAGTGATAGAAGAGGGATAGAAGAGCAACAGAAAAGTGATAGAAGAGTAATAGACGAGTAATAGAAGGGTAATAGAAGAGTAATAGAAGAATGATAGAAGAGGAAAAGAAGAGCAAAAGGAAAGTGATAGAAAAGTGATAGAAGAGCAAAAGAAAAGTAATACAAAAGTGATAGATGAGTAATAGAAGAGTGATAGAAGAGCAAAAAAGGTGATAGAAGAGTAATAGAAGAGTGATAGACGAGTAAAAGAAGAGTGATAGAAGAGGGATAGAAGGGTAATGGAAGAGTGATAGAAGAGGGATGGAATAGCAAAAGAAGAGGGATCGAAGGGTTATGGAATAGTGATAGAAGAACAAAAGAAAAGTGATAGAANGAATAGTGATAGAAGAACAAAAGAAAAGTGATAGAAGAGTAATAGAAGAGTGATAGAAGAGCAAAAAAGGTGATAGAAGAGTAGTAGAAGAGTGATAGACGGGTAAAAGAAGAGTGATAGAAGAGGGATAGAAGGGTAACGGGAGAGTGATAGAAGAGGGATTGAAGAGCAACAGAAAAGTGATAGAAGAGTGATTAGAGGGCATTAAAGGAGGGAGGAAAAAAGCCCCCCCCACATAGATGTATCACCCGTCCGTTTCCAAAGCAGACAGGAGAGAAACATTTCTGCTCTTTCACTTGATGTTTGTTGTTGAAACAGGAATACAAATTTAAACAAGTGGAAATGTAAAAATCTGCTTTTCCTAAACTCATTTTGACAACACTTCCTGAACTACACATGTAGAGGAGATTTTATTAAAATGTTCTTAAATTAAATAAATAGGATCACCTCCTTCAGGTTCAGAGTCAGAATCAAAGTCGGGATCAGGGCCAGAGTCAGAGAGTCAGAATCAAAGTCGGGATCAGGGCCAGAGTCAGGATCATGATCGGGATCAG